CGCTCCCGTTGCAGGCGGATCTCCGCGCGGACGAGGAGCAGGAGGAGGAAGAGGAGGAGGCGCAGCCCCGGCCGGAGCGCTCGGGCCCCCGCACCGCCCGGTGCCGCCCGCAGCGGCCGCTCGTGGCCATCCCCAACCCGCTGTACGGCAGCCACCTCCCCGACTACGAACCGCTGCACGTGAGCCACGCCCCGCGCTCATCCCGCCCCGCCCCGCGCCCGCCCCGCCCCGGGCTCACACCGCTCCGCTCTCACACCGCGCTCTCTCCCGCAGGAACCGCCCCTGGCGGACGTCGGCACCGACCCCCGCGGTTTCCCGCAGTGACTTCGCACGACCCCGACCGGACCGCACCGCCTCGCGGGGAAATAAACAGCTCAGCGCCACCGGCTGTGCCCGCGCCTGCCCTCCGCCCCGAGCCTCGCCGCCCCGGCCTCCCTCCGCCCGCCCCCAGCAGGTGGGAGCTACAGCCCCTTCTCGACCCCGCCCCGAGCCCGTCATGGCCCCGTACGAGGTGATGCCTGGCAAACCTCCAGCTCCCGGGGCTCAGTTCAGCYGCTCCTACGGCTGTATGGCCCTTAGTGTTTGCGTGCAACAGCCSCGGGGCCCGCTGGCCCTCGCTCCTGTGCCCTCACACTGCCCCCGGTCAGGTACGAGTCACGTCAGTCACCACCCCCGGCACCCCTTCCCTCCCCTCCCGGGTGCCCCTGCCTGCACTACCGCTGTAAGAGCCCCGACTGCTCCGTGCTGAACTCAGCCTCGGTCTCTCCGATGCCCACCCCGGCTTCAGCCGMGGCTGCCGTCGGTCGTGCCCCCAGGAGAGGCAGAAGAGCCCCACAGAGCACAATGAGTGGGTTAGTCCGTTAGTTACACATGCTGCAGACGTTTATTGAGCTACACACTACATCCAGCACAAAGACAAACACCACATGCACCTACTACAGGTTTGATTAGAGGGGCCATGTTAACAGATTGTCTAAGCCACTGAGTTGAGCATGAGGCATCTTGAAAGTCTGCAACAGGCTGGCACATGGCACAAAGACAAGGCAGTGAGACACAAGTGACAGACTGACAGGCCACCCTGGCACGGCACTGGGGAGGAACATGCAGGAGAAGATATGTGTGTGTGTGTCTGTGTGTGTGTGTGTGTGTGTGTGTGTCTCTGTGTGTGTGCGTGTCACTCACTGAGGGTTGCTGACACACACAGCGCCTTTCTCTGAGTCACAGCTCCTGGCAGAGGGTCCTCCACACTGCTCTGGTTCCCCCTCTCAGCTGCCCCCACACTGACACCCCCAGCCCCTGCAGCATTCACCACAGCCCAGTGCTTACAAGGCACTGGTGCCTCACCCCATGCTCAGCCCCAGTCTTCCTCCAAACCCACAGCCCAGACATTCTGCCATCACTCATTCATGTCTTTGCCTGCTCACTGCCAGACCTCCTATCTTTGTTCCTTCTCTCGTCCCTGCCACTTCTCACCCCTGAGAAAGCTGGCACTATCACCCTTGTGCCATGTCCAAATGTGTGGCAGTGAGTGGAGGAGGAGGACCAAGGCAATCAATATCTCCACCCCTTCATCCTGTGGCCATCCCTTCCCAAACACTAACCAGCTTTCTGATGGCATGAGCTCCCWTTCCTAGAGCCAACCAGTATCAGAGTGGCACAAACTCTCCACACTCCCTTCTCTCCTCACCTGCCCTCTACCCCTCCCCAACACCCTGCATGACCCTGGAGCTGGCTGAAGCCTGGACCAGTAAGGCCCTGAGCCAAGTGCAGAGCGCACTTTCTGAACCTCACATCCTAAAGCAGCTCTCACCCTGCTGGGCCTCCTGCCTCCCACTCTTGTCCCATCCTTATACTCTGCCATCACTATTASCATCTCTTTGCTCTTCCTCCTGCTGAGGAGGCACCAGAGGGCTTTACCTGGCCTCGCTTCCCTTTCTCACCCCCCAGACCCAGCAGCACTTCACACTCGCCCCCTCCCCAACTTTCCTCACCTGTCCCTCCAGCCACTTAGGCCACATCTCAGTGAACAGAGTTGGACAGTCACCTGCAGCTTAACTGAAGGGCTGAAAAAATCCCTCTGCACCTCACAACAGACCACACCACATCAACTGCCAAAAATATTGATGTCACATGGCACCAAACCCAAAAATACCAACAGTGCACAGCCTTAAGCTCACTCAAAAACCAGCCATGTTCCCAAACAGTAACTTTGAGACCCTGTGACCTACTCCCACACCCAAGGCTTGCACATCCTGCCCAGTTACCTACCAGAGTCCCCATATGGACAGACCAGTCTGGTGGGGAGCAGGATGGGGCTGAGGGCTGCTGGACAGGTAAYGCTGCTGCTGCTTTGTCTTGTAATGCACGCACTGATGGGATTGGTTGCCCAGCTGGCAGCCCTGACCCTCCCTGTCCACCTGCAGAGTCATTCACGCTGCAGTCCCAGGCTGTGGGGGCAGCTATAGACCTGACACACCTCGTTACACCTCCCATGGGTTGCTCTCCCCAARCACTGGAGACATGGAGCTCTGTGCCTGAGCCACTTGTCTGGGCACGGAAAGTGGCAGTRTCCCACCAGCACTGGCCCTCCAACTCACCTAATCCAAGAGAGGACTCCCTGCACAAGCACCCATCCTGTCCAGCCTGCAGTGCACTTCAGGGAAAGGGATGGAGCCAGTGAAGGGAGAAAATAAACACACCATCTACACACGTACGCAAGTGTCAAACGCCCTTTAGTGGTAGACAGAGGTGCTGCCCGGCCCCGCTCCAGCCCCGGCTGTGCTGCTGCTGCCTGCAGTACCTGCCCTTCACCGGATGTGCACCATCTCCTCCAGGAAGGGGGTTTTCATGCAGCCCGTGCAGAGCTGATCCATCCAGAGCGGAGCCTCGTGCTGCAGAGGGGTGCGCCGGGGGTAGAAGGTGAAATTCACGTCGTAGTTCAGCAGGCAGCTGATGGAAGCCATGTAAATATCAGAGAAGCGCACCAGCCGGCGGGAGAAGTACGTGGGGTTATGGAAGGTGCGGAAGATGCTTCCAAACTGGGGGTTGAACAGGTTCTTTGTCAGCGACCTAAGAAGAAAGACACGATGCTCTGTAGATAAAACCGTGGTCACAGATTCTTCCCACTCCCTTAGCCCTGGGCCACCCCACTCCCTGAGCATTAGGGGATCACCCCAAGTACCCATTTCCCAGGCTGTGATGCAGACCAGTCCCTGTRCAGTGAGAGTGGTGAATATTCAGTGCACTCTTACTCTACCTGTTACAAGCAGTGTCAGGAGCTGCAAGAGCTGCAGTAGCAGACAGCCCACCAACCCTTCCCAGCACTCCTCTTCCCCACCCTGCCTTCAAACCAGTCCAACCTGCCAGGCTGCAGGACTGCACTGCTGCATGCCCGCCGCTCAGAGGAAAGTGACACCAAGCAGGACCGGAGTCCAATAGCTGCAGCATCATTATCCCCAAAGCAGGTTAGAAAACAAACCCACAGTGCAGGACTGGGAGCTTGTGAGAGGCCTCATGAGTGAGGGGGGACAGTGCTCACCTGATCTCCTGCCGTTCCTTCATCCACTCCAGCAATACTTGCTTTGACTCTGCATCCTGATACATCTGCAAAGASAGCAGTAGAAGGCACCACATTCCTCAACACATCTCAGCTGCCTCCATTTTCCACTGTAACTCACAAACCCAGAGCCCACTGCACCAGRAGGAGGATATTTTTGAGAACCGGGCAAGATGATACATCCCCTCATCCCCAAAATTCAGATTCAGAAGGCAGCATATGACCTGTCTTGCTCAGCCATTACCTGCATTCTTTCCAGCAGCCCTGTCAGAGCCTGCTGCCAGGTCAGGGAGTGCATGTACTGCTCTGTGTTTATGATCCGGATCTCCGTCTCCAGTTCAGGAACGATGGCTCCAGTCCTCCAGCCATGACGCAGCATGAGGTCCTGAAGGTCAGGGTGAAAAAACAACCAAGAATTCAACATAAAGACTGAAAGCCAAACACAACCCTGGTTCTTAGAAGTGGGTTTGTTCCCATTTTGGATTCTCAGGGGACAGCCATCCATGGCCTGTGCCAGTAGCAACCAGCCCCTGGTCATCAGGATCAGTTGCATGAAGCATCTAAAATGGTGTGATCAATAGAAACTGCTCTCAAATTCACAGACTTTACCCACAAAGTACTTCAGGAGCCCTTTCTCCGGTGCCTGCCTCTGACAGCCTGTGTGTCCTGTTTGGGGGGCACCCAGCACAGCCCAGCCCTGAGCACTCACAGCAGGCCCTGCCTTATCTCCAGCCCAGCTGGGGCCACATGTGATTGCTCCCACCTCACTGGAGAGCAGAGATATTTCACTCACCGCAAGGTCACTGTACAGATGATCACCAAAGTAGAGCACTTTGGATCCACGCCAGCCCGTCAGCCGCAGGAAATCAAAGAGGTTGCCCTGCAAGTGACAGGAGCACAGAGTGAAACGTGGGTACARGCCACCTTACCACATGCAGGTGTGAGCACTCCCATGGAGTGTCAACCTGCTCTCTGCCCCACCATCTACACAGTGGTTTCTGTCATTCCCTGCTTCACTTTCTTCCTATGTGACAACCCTCTGTACATCCCTCAGCTTTTTTTTAAGGCTAGAGAAAAGGCAAAAACTCTTCCAAAGAGTTTTTGCAAACAGGGAATTCAGGGGAAATTCTGTGTTCTAGGGCAAAGCACATCAAGAAGACAACTTGGTCTAAAAAAGCAACAAAAAGAGGTAGTGTAGGGGCCAGAAGACAACTAAATTAGAAAAGCCTGAGGATGGGCAGAAAGAGCYCCTGGTGTTCTGGGTTTAAAAGTTGTTGATCTCAGGTGATAATGATTTCACCCCAGGAGCACCAGAGGTAAGGSGAGCACCATCAGGCTTTTCCAGTCAGGAGCTGTTCTACATCACTGACCACCATCCCAACCTCAAAGATTAACAACACCCACATKTCCACAGGAATTGTTTAACCAAGCCAAAGAACCAGGCAGCCTGCACAGATTCACAGCTGAGTAATGCAAACCAAACCCCACTCCAAAGCACCAGCTAAAGCACAGCACCAAGCAGCTTTCAGGGCTTTCCAAACATCCATACCCAGAAGACACTTCAGGCACTACTTTTCCATCTTCACACAAGTTTTTCACACAAGTAATGAAAAAACCCCACTAGGAAAAGAAAAGGCCCCATCAATGCCAGCAGACCAGCACAAGCAGTCAATGCAAACCCATGAGCCACTCAGCAGCAATCCCTCCAGCCAGTCTCCAGTGGCAGGAGAGAGCCAGCACCCCCAGCCACCAGCACCAGCCTGCCCAGAAAGCCCCCARACACAAGGCAGCCCCCACAGCAGCCGTGGCAGCTTGTATGTACAGCTAAGGCTGCCCAGAACCAGGCTGCTGGGCCTTCTGTTACTGCAGCATCCCTGGAGCTGAGCACTTAATAGCACAAAACAACAGGACTGGACAGGCCTCTGCACTTCTTGGACACAACATTGCTGCTGCTCAGGAAGCCAGTGGCAGAGCAGGGAAATGGACCACAGCCTTGGAAGGAGGATAGTACTGTGCTGTGTGCTCAGTCACCTCAAACAGCAATGGACCTGACTGCTAGGAAACTCATGCTTGGAGATCCATGGAGCCACAGAGCTGTTCTGAGACCCCAGATCCTGTTCTCTTTTCCCCTTGAGATCACAGACCAGGGGAGGGATGGGAGTACAAACTTGCCACATACAGAAAACACTACACATCTGTCAGAACCCAGGGACTAGAGGACATCATTTCAGTCTTCCAGTCCCCAGGGCAAAGCACCAATCCCTGTGGTCCCATTCATGGGATAACTACAGCAAAAAAATTACCATCAAGCCATGCTTCAGGGGACAGGAACAGCTCAGAGGCCTCTGGCAAAACYACCAGCAGAGCAAGGTCCATGGCCACTAACACTTCCCAGAAAGAAGCCACTCCAAGAAACCAAAAATCCTGGAGATGGGGTGGGCTATAACCAGGATACACACTGTCACATCCCAAGAACCACAGTTAGGCAACAGCCTGAATACAGTTAGATAAACACCATGGTGAGGGAGAAGTGGAGAGGAGCCCAAAATCCTACCTATCCCTCCTTCTTCTCTCATCYTTTCCCTTCCTCAGTGCACCATTCACATAGGTAAGCAACCTGTGGGCACAAGATGTAGGTTGGCCAAGAGCAGGATTTAATGCAGCAATAAACTCCATGGCTGAGGTGTGCCTTTTCTCCTGAGGGAGCTGGTAACCCACTGGGAATGAGCTCTACTTACATGTTCCCAGCTCCAAGCTCTTGGCAGGGGATGGGACACTGGCCCAGCACTTTGGCAGACCCACCAAGGCTTCCTAACAGCACTACTCRAGGACACGACCTGCTTTGCTACCACAGGTCAGGTCCCAGCTACTTGACCCGAGTCTCACTAACAGTTTCTTCCCGTGGGATTGAACAGCTCAAATAACCAAGAACAAACCGTCCTAAAGCCAGAGGCAACTTGTCTCAGGGGACAGAGCAGCTGCAAGGACAACACCCAGGGCAGCAAGTTCACCAGAGCAGCAGCTCATCTTCAGACATGCTGGTCATTCTGGAAGGGGAGTCAGGAGCCAGGCTTTGTACCCTTTTTGATGCTTTGTACCCTATTTRATCACCCTTGTTTCTCTATTCCCTTCTCCACAAATCCACCTTTTCCAACCTTATGGAGAGCAATCTGGAGTGAGGTGTGGAAGATCTTTGTATGCAAAACAGGTTTCAGAGAACTGTGCCTTCTAAGCCTCAAATACCACACCCTTGGGAGCCCCTCCAGGGCAAGAGTTTCAGGAGCAAAAGAGCTGAGGGAAAAGTGCACAATTGGCTATATCAGAGCAGAGCTCCCAGGGTGAAGGTTTCATTGCACATGGGGTAGGGGACATTCACTAGCCTCTCCTACACATCCAGAGGATGTTTCCCTACCACCCCATCTCACACAAACAGGGCAGCAGCAGGGAAAACYCAGCCTGGCAGAGGTAATTCAGCACAGATTCTCTTGGGTAGAAAAGCAAGCACCCCATATCCTAAATTACCTGACCCTGCTCTGCCTTTTCCCACTTATCCCAGGCCCTCCATCCCTGATACCTGGGGGACAGTGTCCTACCAGACCAGCGAGGGCTTATGGGGACAGAGGGCATCTGCCACTGCCCACAGCCAGCCCAGAGCTCAGRGTGTGTCTTCTTATGAACACCCTCTACCTACACAGGTGCTCTTTTCAAGGACTTCTGTCTTGCACTTTTCAAACACGAGCAAGTGTCCTACAGCAGAACCCGTCATTTCCCCTTGCCCGGACCAAGCAGATTGTCCTGTTTTTCCARTAATTTCCAGAACTGCAGGTGTGTTGTAAGTTCCCACCATTTCAGACTCCTGCTTCACAYCCCTTATGTAGCCATTCATTTTACCTCTTTGTAGATCTTTCCCTTCTCCAGCTGGTTTATTTTGTCCCACTGCAGTGAGCCTTTATCATCCAGTTTTCTAAAAGGTCTGGGGAAAAACAGGGGGGGGAGATGTTAACTTCTTTTGATTTTTGGTGATTGTTACCCAGCAACCAAAGCATTTGRATCACAAAATTTGTTTACCTATGTAACAACTTGAAATAAAAGCTCTACATGAGTTCTAAGTGACCTTCTGGGCCTTCTGCACTATTTTTCTCGGGGGAAGAGAAAGTGTGAAAGGGAAATATCTTTTCAAAATGTGTCCATTGACTGTAACCATTTCATGCCAAAATCCCTAACAACTCTTCTTGCTTTTTGCATACAGAGAGGGGGAAAATAATCATAATGATTCCCTCTGAAATGGCAAGGGCAAGAGGGCTTTGCCACAAAACACTTTGTGTGCTGTTCCAACCTGGCTATGCCCCAGCCCAACAGAGACCATGGAATGTCCTAATAGGATAAGGCAAGTCTGCAGAGACAAGGGGAAGCAGTCCCCATGCTGCTTTCAGCAGATAAACTGAGCTGTCTCCTGTATATCCTGAGGGCTTGTCATTACATTCCCCACTCCATGAGAGGATCTTGGGCACCAGGCAGCCATAGGTTTTATTTCTGAGAGGGCCAGATCCTCATAGCACCAGGCTGAACTTGTAAAGCAMTTCACCTGCAACCCATGAAAAAAACCTTTACCTGGCCAGCACAGCTTATAAAGCCATTCCATAAATTTATTCCAGCCTATGCCAATGGCCTGGGAAATGGGGGAGGAGAATACATACAAGGGAAAGAACAGACCAATCCCTCAACAAAGCAGACACAAGTTCCCAAAGCAAAGAATTCAAAGAGCAAAGTAAGGACAGCAGCCTGTCTCTCTCTCAAGTAGTCCCTTGGCAGTTTCTCACTGACCACAAAACCCATCTGCCATGTACAAAGGCTCCCAGAGCTGCCAGTTCCCAAACAGCATGTATCCAACCAAACAAGACCCCAAAAAATCTCAGAAAACAAACCACACAGATACTCTGCGGTGGGGAACAGGAAAAGGAAAGATTTTGTCACACTCTCAGGACCATGAAATGGCCAGCTCTCATGCCAATTTTAGAAACACGTTTTCTTCTCCACTTATTCCCAGACTGGTCAATTCTTGCCTCCTCAGAGAGTATCTGAGAGGACAGTGGAAGGCTGAATGCCTCCTGGAGCTAGTCTATGCTTAGCAAATCACTGCTTTCTGGCAGGCCAAAAAAGCAGTTCCCTGYGGGGAGGGGGCCCCAAGCCTCAGGCAGGGCTGTCCTGGACACTTACTTCCGCCGGTCAGTGAAGAAGTTGGGCTTGTCCGCTTGCACAATGACCATGTCAAATAAGTCCCGCCAGTTCTTGCCAACCATGTGTTTCATTCCTTTGTCCCTAAAGGCAAAGGAATAGAAAAATTAACAGATCCAGTACACTGCATCTTTACAACAGTATGTCCTAAATTCGCTCTCATTTCAGTAACAAAGCAAACAGATTTGTGAACTCCCCCAAGGCTGTCTCATTGCATGAAGTACTGATGCTGTGCTTTGCTTCAAGCTGTCACACACTTTCTTCTGCACCACTGGAAGCCCAGGGAAGACTGTGATGCAGAAAACACTGCTAGAGGCAATAGAAAGTGTCAGCTCTAATATTGTGGCMAGCCACAGCCTTGTAACTTCTCCAAAAAGTGAGATCACTGCTGTGGGTGCAATATCCACCATAAGCAGTTCCCAGTGAGCTCTCCTGATTACTGCCACAAAACCCTGTCCCATACAACTCCCAGGTGCTCAGAGGAGGGAGCCCATCGATGTGCAATAACAGTACTCACACAAAGCTAAAGGGACTGTTTGTGATGAGGAACAGTTTCTTCTTGTGGTTCACCAGTCGGTTCAGCACAGCGTAGATTTCATCCCCGTGCAGAATATACCTTTCTGTATCAGAAGAAACACACAGCATCAACCAAAACACTTTGGCACATCAGGACCACATTTCTATAAACCAAACTAAACCTAGCCCCTACACCACTAAGGATGCAAAAGGTCTGAGTTAAGATTCACCTTAGGCAGGCAGGTAAGGAATCACCATGGTGACAAACTGGCCTTCCTAATCCCCATCAATCCTACCTAAAGACTAAGGAAGTGACAAATCAATTTTGGCACCAGTGCTCTATTTAACTCACCCATATCTTTTTCAATCCATTTGTACATCACTCCTTTCACATGAACATCTCTAATTGCATCCTAAAGAAAAGAGCAGGGGAAAAAAGTTTCAGTTTTACGCATGGCATTCCTATTTCCCAGCATGCAAACGTACTGCCACCACAGAGGGACCAAGGCAGTAATGACACATCCCCTCCTTGCTGAATGAACAAAAGCTCCATCAATGCTAAGCAGCAGAGCATGCCCAGCATGGCTCACCAAGATGCCAAAAGAACACAGTAGCTGGATCAGCTGATGCAGGATAAGGGAGCAAACCTCAAAACTTATTTGTGAAGCACAAGGTCCTTCCTGCTCTTGGAAACTAATGTTAAAACACTGGTTCCAAGGCAATAAAGACTGTGCAACTCCAAAACCATTTACTGTCCCAAAACTGTACTGCCTCAGACATTGSATGGGTTTTATTCCTCCTTATGACTGTGGAAGCTCTGCCAAGTGTGACCCAMAGGATAGGAGCATGGCCACGGCAAACAGCAGCAGACAAGAGCATCTGTGATACCAAGATGCTCCACACAAACCAAGGAGGGCCACAGCTCCTAGCCCTGGTGGCCAGTGTGCACAGGCAGAGCAGAAGCTCCCTCCAGGAGGGTGGCACAAAACACAGCTGGGAGGGRAGCAATATAAACCACATGTTGACAAGGGCATCCAAATTTCCTCTATTTTCCAGGCCAGAAGCCAAGATACAATAAATTTTTGGACACACCCAACTGAGATTCTGCCCAAGTTTCCATCCAGCAAGATATGCCAGATGCACAAAATCATTTCCAGAGCAGCAACACTTTGCAGTGTTTGCCCATGCAAATGCTTGTTTTAACAGCACTGTTTTCATCCCTGACAGCTTACACAGGAAAACAAATGCTACCGTTCCCCAGATCCCTTAAATCACTGTCACACTGTGTGTGCCCCTTCATGAGTTGACCTTTCAACTGAGCCCCACACTCACCACTGACATTGCCACAGTGACACTTGCCACACAGTTACTGGTCTCAGGGCAGTGCTGGGGAAGCCTCCTCATGACCCTAAAAATCATTTCCTTCAGAGCTCGAGAGAACCACAACTTAAATGGGGATGATGAAGGCAGAGGCACTACCACTTCAAAATGGACTTTTAGGAGCTTCTTTCCACCATGTGGATTTGAGTGGCAAAAAGGCAGACATCACATCATATTGCCTTATTGGAAAGAATCTGAACAGAGAGCAGGAGCTCTAACAAGAAAACAACTTTCTCTTAACCAGCGCTAYCACTAAAAGCAAGGAAAACTACCTTTGAAGAGAAGATTTCAGTGTGCTCTTTCCCTATACCCCTGCTCTCCAAAAAACAAAAGAAGAAGACAAAAAAAAAAGGGAAAACTATAATGTTTCTGCAGGTAAAATCTTGGAGCCTTGGTAGGTGCCAAACAGGGCTAAAAAAAAGTCTCCAAAGGGAAGCAGGGTAAACTGTACATTTTTACTCTCAAATAAGAAGTGACCAAACCAGTGTGACAGGACTACTTGGATTACATGTCAGCTTCAGCCTTTGCCACATCCCAGGGTCTGCCCTTTTGACTCGGTGCAGTGCCTGCAGCATCTAACCTGCTCCCAAACACACAGGCTGCATCAGCATTTCCACCAGGAGCTCCAGAAGGGTGTCAGACTAAGCCAGTRCTGTACTAACAGCTGGGCTATGCAAGTCCTCTGGGACATCTGCCTACCAGCACAGAGGGGGTCTCTGTGCTCATGTTCATAAAGTATTTCTTTGCACTTGAACTTGGGTACTGCAAAGGCATAAGTTTTGTTTATTCTCATTGTACAGGAAAGAAGCAAAAGGTCTGCTGGTGAGAGCACATGACAGTCCCTAGTTTCAGTAGAAATTTCAGGTATTGCCACAGATTTTCTGTCATAGTTCTCCCTTTGTCTGCTTCAGTTGTTCCTCAGGGATGACCACATTCTCCACCAAAAGGACAAAGCCAGGATTAGTACTCAGGAGTCTGAGGCTGGACCACACCAGCTTGTCCTGTACTGAACACGTATCAGGCAGTTGCAACCATCCCCCTGCTCTCAAGATTTCAATTAGGAACACCATTTTGATCTCAAAAGAAGGTTCAGAAGGTAACTGTTCCCAAAAGGCCTAAGGAGTCAGCTGTATCCCCTCTTCCCATTTTCCCCAGCCAAGAGTAAAACCAACATCCAACTCTTGAAACACGTCTTGTGGGAAATGTGCCGGCACATTCCTATCAAGCGCCAACAGAAGGTCAGGACTCACAGCTGACAGGTGGATCCTTATCACAAAGCAGCAGCACAGACATGGAGCTCCATTTCCCCGTGGAGCCCATTTCCCTCACAGAAGTGAACCGACTGGGTGAGCCTAAGACTCCCACAAGGTACAAATCCAAAACCTTTCTCAGTAGCAAAAGGAATAAGGAAAATGTGTTGTCTGTCAGCTAAGTCACCCAGAGCAGCAATCTCAAGCACTTACATCTTGCCTGCAGCATTAACTGAGAAGTCAAACAGCCTCCCCAACAATGCTGATAATCCCATACAGCCCTTTCAAGTGCCACTTAACACCTTGGAGTAAATGACACATGAAAGCTCCAGTCASCCACTGGAAAACATCCCCAAAGACTATTCTGCAGCTGCAAGGGGTAGAGGATTCTCAGAGCAGGCAAGGACAGGTRTTTTACAACAATCACTGTATAAAGTAAACTGTTTGGTACATGGTCAGACTAAGCACCTTTGAAAAATGAGATACTAAGGAAAACACACTTGAAAAGCCTGCAGAACCAGAAAACATTTACACAGGCTTTGTAACATATTTCCCACGGAAAGACTTTCAACCTAAGCAGCCCAGGCACTGCTGCAGAGATAATGTACAGCAATACCAGCTCTGCAGTATAAACAGAACCCAAACATGTTCTGAAAACACAGCTTTGAATATTCCCTGGAAAGTCTTTGATTTAAAGGGGCAACAGAGGTGTCATATCAGGCTGCTCACTGCCAGCCCCTKGGGTTTGGGTACTGCAGAGCTCACAGGTCTGATGTGGAGTCAGTTGGGGGGCAGCTGACTTACAGATATGTCCTTGTAGAGATGCACCTGGTCAAACTCAATGCCATGAGTGATGAAGTAATCAATGACTGAAGAGAGCAGTGTCATTTCAGGAAGAGAAAAAATGTCCATAAACTGCTTAAGTGATGGACCCTGGAAAGCAAAAAAGSAAAGGGACACATTAAACCAAAAATACAGAGAAAAAAAAAAAGCAAAGCCAACAAACTCCTATCACACAGCATCATCTGGAATATATTCCAGGCTAACAAAAAGAAAAACACTAGTTTGGGAAGTCCCAGCCACTCAGCCAGAGTGAACTAAAGCAGTAACTAGAACAATTAACATTGATGAGAGAGAGGCTTTTCCTTCACATACATCATTAAACAAACCCASCATCATTAATACCACAGGGTGAAGATGGAGAAAGCGGAGAGTCAGTCTCAGACATTTTAATTTCAGCCCCAGGCCCTCTGCTTCCCACCTGGACTCTTGGCATTAATACAGGTGCCAACAGACACCTACAGCAGCAGAAGAGGTCCCATTGCTCATCTAAACCAGGCTGTKACACTGGACACAGGGCACCAAAGCTGCTCAAACCACACTCCAGTGAGGTTTCACAATCCAGCGTAAAAATCACTCCAGGTTTGTCAATGCCTGTCACTACAGAAAACCCAGAGGAAAAAGAACTCCAACCCACCCAGCAGTCAAATGGAAATGAACAATGAAWTCCTGACCAAGGAATAACACCCCTTGCATTAGGCAAAKTTGCAGYTCTCACAYAYATTTGCTATTGTTATTGCCTATCAATTACAAACCTATCAGCAGGCAAAGAGCCAACTTTGACTYCAGAGAGGTCTTCCAATAAAATAAACTTTGTTTATTCTGTATGTACCACCTGTGCAGAGGACAGTGTGTCTCACTGGCAAGACGAAACTGGGATCAATTTTTTCATCTTCCATCAGTACAGTTCCAAATCAGACAGGGGCACAGGTACTAAAGTCCCATATAAGGGAAGCAATTTGGGAAGCACACAGACCTCTCCATGAACCTGGTCACCAGCAGAGCCCTGGCAATCCAGTCACATCATGCCTATTCATRAGCTTTAAGCAATCCAGGACTTACAGCTGGGAAGTTGCAATGCTGTAGGATAATACTGGGCCACTTCAGAAAGCATTTATTAGAGCTGTGTGAAAGACAGACAAGAAAGCAGCATTCAAAAGACCACAGAAGGTGCAGATGGTGGRAGCTGACAGGGCACTTGCTGCCTATTGATAAACAGGTGGGCCCTGTTGCGCCAGTAACAACAGAACATCTCCCATTTAGTCTGGTCAGGTAATGGTGCACAAGACCAGCCCTCTTTGCAGCCCTATCTAAAGGCAACCTTGGGGCAACACAATTTGGGGTCAAAAGGGCAAAGAAACAACAAACAGCATTTTGCCTGAGGTGTATTACAAAAAAATGCTGCAATCAAAAGCTATGTTGGTGTGCTGAGGGTTATACAGCTTCCATCCATCCAGCATAGGACAATTTCACCTACAGCAGAAAAGAAAACAAAGGGCCATACACCACACACAGTGGTGCTGCTTAGGGATACTCACTGAATCCTTCCAACACTTCTGTCCATTTTGAGGTCTGGTTGCTAAGGGATTTTTTTCTCCCACTAGCAAAACCAAAAGTTCCTGAAAATATCCTTCATCTTTTTCTCCTGTTCAGAGATTCTGAGAAAGAAGCAAGAGGGACAAAGGCAGTTCCTACTGAAATAACTAGGTATGGGATTCAGCAGAGCACAGCAGAGCAATGACCTGTCCTACCTTTCAATACCTTAAGTATAGAAGAGACAGGTAAATGTTCAGTGTTAACAGCAAAGATTTACCTTYGTCAACTCTGATTTCATTTTTGTGCCTTGGATCATTTTCCTGCAAGGCAAGTCCAACCTCTCCCAATTCCCTCTAGTGGCCTTGACTTCCTTAACCAGCCATTGTGAGTCATGGTAAAATTATACTGTGCTTTCAGAATATGCTTTTTCTACAACACCCATGAGTTCTCCATCTTCACTAGAGKCCATCATGTGTAAAGCCACACCAGCTGCAGTGTCTAACCCTGGGCAAGATCTGTGCCCACTACTGCAGGGTGCTGGGATGCTGGCAGCTRTCCACACACTCCTGCTAACAGAGAATCAGGAAAACCCTGAAGGGTGAGTATTTACACACTTCAGCCATATCAGYCCCACTTCTCTYGTTTGCCTCTTAGCAACYTTCCTGCTGCCCATACAGCAATGTMAGCATGGCAGACTAAGGAGGACAAATCCAAAACCCCTACTAAAGGCTCACTCCATACCAGTTCACTGCACCTACTCACCCAACAGTCATCTTAACCCATCTATCATCTTTCTCCCTAATGTGGGAAAATATGTCCTACTTCATGGCACAGGTTGAGCAGAAATCGCTGAATGCAAATGCCATTAGTTGCAAATAATTTTGTTCTCTTTGAGATCAGCCTATTAGTTCATGGAGTCTTTTACATTATTAGGAGAGCAGATTCACCTCTTCACAAAGAATAAGCTGATAACATCTGGCCACAGAAATAGAGATATATCAAATTTTTCAATACTAACTACAGGAAAGAAGAAAACACATGATATGTACAAAACAGCACAGAAAGGCACCTCAGCATGAGCACCTGGTCCTACAGAAGGCCACAACTCGAAGCAACTTTCATGTTTACAGTTATTTAAAAAGAAAGGTGAAATMATGTCAAGTTTGGCAGGAGTGAGGAGAGTTGCACAGCAGAAGGCTAATCGAGGGCAGTTTACAGACAAATATCAAATTTAAACAGGAATGTCCTATTTCAAAGCTGGAAACATCACTGAGCTATAAACAGAGTATATACTTATCCAGAAAGCAACTACTCAGATTAATCGTTCCCAAGAGAGAAAGAGAAAAATCAAGAAGTGACTGCTGGAGACTTCACGCAGCAGATTCACAGGGGTATTACCAGAGGAAGTGTGCACTTCTTCCAGCTTCCCYTAAGGCAATTGGACTAAGGCAACAAACAAAGCAGTTCTGGGAGAAGGGATGTGAATGGTCCCGCTTGGCCACTGYACCACATGAGACACTCAAGGAAAAAAAATCTCTCCTAACTTCCTCTAGTTCAGGCAACCAAAGGATTTCTACAGCTCCTACAGAAAGCATCAGTACTTCACTGCCCCCTCCACTCATGGAGGCCAACCCTATGAATAATATCCCCTGAGCAATTCTGAARGAGTGTGAAGGGGGATCCTTTACATGAAGGGAAAAAAACACCCTACCCAAAACCAAAGAGAGAACGGCATTGCAAATACCCTTCTGTTACACAGACCCCCCTCCTGCACAGCTCAGTGCAAACACCAGCACTGCAGGCTGCTCCGGTAGCTTGGGAGCTACATTTGGCCRAGGAACAAGCAGGGAACATCTCCCTATCAGTCTTCAAAGCCATTCAGCTCTAGGCCAATAGCCCTGGTATTTAGAAATACTTTGCAGATGTCTTTCAGATGCTAAACTGCTAAATAACCTCTGGGGCATATTCCCACTAGAACAAAAACATACACTGCAGCTCACTAGGGACTGAGCCTTTCCAAGGGAGGCTGCAGTCATTYACATGTGCATACAATTCCCTCTGTTTTCCAAGCTGTTCACAGAGCTGCTGCTGCATCCCAGCAGCCAAAGGCTTACAATACCTTGCCATAGAAGTCACTCATCTGGTACAGGGGGATGTGCTGTGTACCACCATAGAGTTCAATCACCTCTTCATCAGGCACTGGTTTGAGCCCTCTAGACACAAAACAACAGTTTATCAATAATCACCAGTCTGCACAGTGCTACAAACTGCAGAGAAAAACAKGATAGGGCAAACAGGCTCTTTTCTAAAACACACTAATTCCTCTTGCTCAAACTAGACAGGCAGAGAGCTCTAAAGACTCACACAATATCTTTCACAAGACATTCTTCAGTCACCTTGTTTGCTTCTACAAGTTAATTGATGGGCTTTATCCACATTCCATCAGAGTCCAGCCAGAGGCTTCTCTCTGTCTACTGTCAATTTGCTGACWGGACTGCCCCACCAAATCAGCCCCACGACCTGACTTAGGCAGCACTGGATAACTAACTTGGTTTGGAGATGTGGCTTCCTTCTCAGTTTTCCTAAATAGAACAAATTCTTCTCTAACACCATTTAACAGAACAGACTGCTTTCCCCCCAGAACACCAAAACCAGGGGTATGGCTGAGCTGTGTGCTTCATGAACATCAGGTTATCTGACTGCTGCAGGTTATACCTCTTGCACAATTTTGATGACTGTTTGCTCAAGCAGTAAGCAACTTTCCCTTTCTCCTTTTCTACTCAGTTATGATACAGTCTCCAAGAAGTTAAATGTTGCCTCAGTTGTGCTCAAAAGCAAATGAGAGTTAAGGACACTCCAAGAAAGACAGTTACAAAAGGACATTAGGGAAAAAAAAGATTTTAAATGTGTTTTCACTTAAAATCTTTCTATGAARCTGAAGTAAAATATGGGGCAGTACAAACCCCTGTTCCCCTCACCCCCCAAGCTGGCACTCAAAGAATCAAATTCTCTCTGATTATGAAACTCCCTTTTTAATATTCTTAGAGTGTTTACTGTAACTGAAGCTTAACAGCAAAAGGGCAGAGATCAAGGGAAAAAAACACACTGGCTTCCATGCTCAGGAAGGAAATACAACATAGGACTTAGAGGAGCTTTGCTACTGGTGTCTATTAATTCCTACTTCTTACACACCAGCCCCACTCCTCTTTGGGGCAAGGTATTCTGTCAATCTCCAGTCTCAAAAATCTTTGGAGAAAAAATTGCTGTGCACAGTTTCAGCCACTTATTCCAGAGCACACCCAGCTCTTCTTGGAGAACTAAAGGAAGACTAGAACAACATAGGCCTCAAAGTGAGCCCAGATTCTGATGCATTATTACTGTATTGGCATGTCTGTGCTGCTTTAAGATTTAATTTGCACATCCAGACCACTCTCCAAGGCACAGCAGTACACTGCTAGAATACTGGAAAAAAACAGGCCCATGTGTGAACCATATCCAGAGGAGCCCTTTCCTAGTGGCACTGTTTGCTCTCAGGTGTTAACCCAGCCATGCTGTAGCAGCAACTCAGACACCACAGAGTGTACGTGACCAGATGTGTTATTAACCATTACAAAAAGCTCCAGGTCTTCCCTCCCACACTTGGCTTGAAATGCTTGAGAAAAAATAACTCCCTGCAATTATATGCCAGGTAAGCATTTGAAGCAAGCACAAACAGGATTAGCCAGACAAGATTGTGCTCTGCTCAGGAGACAAAACAGAACATATGTCATGAACATACACTGAGATGTAGAAATCCACCTTTGCATATATGAGCATTTAGAAAATGATATTCAGAACTGACAGACCTATATGCCGTCCCCAGCTGGACATAATGGAAAGCATCGATCTTCATGAGAAGACTCTGTGATAAGAGATAGATATTTAGTGTTAAAATTGTGTTACTGTTAAAATTTACACTTATTAAAGCTTAAAGTCCCACAYAAATGACATTTAAAAAATAAACTTGAGTATGAACATCCCACATCTATGTACTTTAGGCAGCAGTTATTCTCCAGCTACTTTAAGACACACTTTTTCATACTGTGACTTTTTATTGGCCTCTCTGGCAAAARACCATCTTTCTGTGAATCAAAGTTTGCTACACTCAGTTTATAAACAGGGATGCAATTGAAAAACAGGGACAACAATGTGTCTGTGACTCAAGAAAGTCTATTCTTATCTGCCTTCCAAGAACACACACATTCCAAAGGAGCTTTGGGTGCACAAGATTTCTCCCCACATTTATCTTAAGCAGAACTAAGTGGGCAAGTTTGTTTAGAGCACAGCTGCATCCAGTCATTTTCTTCACACAAGAAGRATGTCCCCAGTAGACATTGAAGCAAAGATGTTCAGGAGCACACCAGACTGGTAACATTTGCATTTTTGGTATCAGACTCGCCTAACCAKGAGTCATCCTCCTTCTCCATCATTCTGAAGCTGTAACACAAGTCCTTGGGCTTGGAAAGCAGCCCCACATTAACAGACAGCCCACCGCAGCTTGCGTAAGGAACACAGCATCAAACTTCTTTCATCAGGATACAGTATCCACTGCATCTTGTTACACTGTGGGCAGACCTCCCAGTAATCTCTGAGGAGTGCAGGCAAATATGCTGAAAGTTTTACTTGGACAGGCACAACCCATATTTCTGTGTATTTTGCAAACTCTGATCTTGAGAAAAGAGAATTCTCTACTTTTTACTCACTCAAAGGGTGCTTTGCTTGGCCAGGCCACTCGCCTGTATTTCTCAGTTATACCAGCCAAAGATTTAAACAGAGAACGAGCCTTTAGTTTCCCATAGATCTAGGTCTTGCTTTGTAAGGCCAGAGGCATGAATGATCTGCTGCCATACTCACCACAGTTAGGACAAAAGTCACAGAAAATATAGCTCATTCTCCTTTTCCCCTCCTGCTGGAGAACAGCACACACATTCCAGCCTGCACTGCCTGCTTGCCTGAATTTTTTCAAACTCAACATAAAACTACTAAGGTGAARCAACTTTTTCTGCTGTATTCCCACCTGACTGCCTGGCTGCAGCAGCCAGCATGGCATCACTCGGCATCAGGCTTTCAGGGAATCGGTCCAAAGCACTGAAAAGGGTTAAATCTAATGCCTGCACTCTGCTTGCCTGTGTTCCTAAGAAGCATGCATCTCAAGTAGCTTGGGTCTTATTCCAGACAGTCCTATTATTCGGGGTGGGGGGCGGGGAAGGCTTCCTAAAGCATTCTCCCAACAAGTCATTTCTATTATTAGAGAAAGACATTATGCCTCTGCTCCTGGCAAATACTTGTAGATGCAGGGTTGAGTTTTGTTGTTTAAATTTCCTGAAAGACAGAAATGACCACACAAACAAGCTCAGTTTTCTATTAATTAGCCTGTGGAATTAACTGACTTTTAAATAGGCAAGGCTGTACCAAAGGCCTTTGCTAGAATGTCCCGTTCTGCTGGAGGCCAGGCTGGCACAATAGATATCTTTCCTTCGGGAAGAACCCGTGCAATGAAAAGCACAGCCACACAGACTCACTGGCAATTTGGTGATAGATGTTGTTGCAAGCAATGACAAAGTATTTCCRCTAAAAACATAACAGTGGAAGACAAAGCCCAGGAGGGCAAACTTTGTACAGCTTACCTTTTGTACATCATAGTGAAGTCCACGTATGGCAAAGCCTGGAATGTAGTCATACTTCCCAAGACCTTCTGGATACTGGGAAGACAAACAGCAACATCATTAAAGTATAAGCACCAGATAATCAACAAAATCATTTCACCTGTTGAGCTCATATAGTCTTCCCTATTTTTGCCCCTTCAACAAAGAAAGTGGATGAATGGAGTAAGACAAAGGATCAGGATACCCAAAACTAGTTTTTCTCACGTAAGGGACWCCAGTGAAAAAGCATCAGATTCACTAAAGCAGTGAGGACACTTCTTGTAATCTCCATTCAATGCATGTGTTTGGTATAAACTGGCACTGCAGAACCCCTCTAAACAGAAAGACACAATGAGAAAACATAGAGCAGTCACCCATTCCAAACAGGGTGTCTGTTCTGGGACATGCTCTAGGGCAACATCCCATCAACCCAACCAGCACAAGTCAAGTCCTGTATAGTTTCAGTRTTGGTCCATGGTTTATGTTTATCCACCATGTGCACCACCAACCAGAAATTCTGTAAGCATTATTTTCAGRGTCAAGTACAACTGACCAGAGCTTTTCTAGACTAAGGCTCACACTCCACATTTATAAATCTCAAGAATGYACATCATGTTAAATTATCTCAAAGGAAATTAATTCTGCAATCAAAGATTGTGAAACATAACATTTATCTCAATAAATCAAGTACTTGACACATGGGCACAATGCCTGCACAAGCATGTCTTGGGCATTGCAAAGACAGCAACAAGCTTAATTGAGTGGAAATTTTTAGTACCTCATTACCTTGAATTGTTCTATTAGGATGTCTCTGGCAGTGTTGAAAATCATGGAGTGTAGTAAATTAGAATACTGTGCTAATGTGTAATCATAGTCAAAGCCATAGATCTCCACATCTCCCAGGCTGATCTCATTGTTAGCGTAGATTGCGGCCGGGTTGAGGAGATTGCAGACTCCTGGTGGAAGGAGATCTAAGAGAAGGGAAAGGAGAGAGGTTAGAGAAACTGAGAGGATCACTGAAGTTTAGACTTTTGCTCTGGACCTGATAGCAGCCAGAAATACCACACAGCAGCAGCAGCAAAGGAGAACAGAGCTGCTGTTGAAGGCTGCTGCCTTTAATTCAAATCATCTCCCTGTGCAAAAACACACTGTGAAAYCTCTGGCTGCACCTGGAGATAATGCTCTCCATCCATCTGCACAGTAAGACTGACCTTTTGTGCCAGGAAGCTGCAACACAATGTCGCCTGCTCTGGCCTACATGAAGCAAAGCAGAGCYGAGGTTTTGAAGTGTCAGATTTCTATCTCAGAGCAGCTGTGGTKTCTGCAGGCATCAATGTGAAAGGTAGCTGTGATAAATCACCAGAAAAAAACACACACCCCTCACTTAGAACCTGCACAAGCAAACAGGCTAACTGTCCTCTTTGGAAAATCTAGATTACTCCAAATCAGAAATTTTGAGGTTTGTGTTTTGTCATTTTTTGTTTCTCACGGAGGCAACCAGACTTCATGGAGAAACCCTTCAAGTATCATTAAGACACAATTTTGCATTAATGGGCAGCATAAAACAAGGCTTTGTACAAATACCGACGTGTAAAAAAACAACCCACRCTAAGTTGCATGCTCCTGGAGCATGCAGTGCTGATAGCAACAAGTTATCTRCTTTTCTCTGATAAACAGCTGTGGAAACAGCTCAGTCCTTGCATGTGGTTTGTCACTGCAAAGCAGGGTTACTGTTCAAGATGCTTGGGAATAACACTTTGCATCCCAGATCATTGAGAAAATGGGATTAAGTGACCAAGCAGCCAAACTGCATATATATCCCTGTCCAGAGCTAGTCCAGGGAGGAGAGCTTTCGCTCCACTCCAATCAGAGAGGCAGGAACAGATCCTCCCACAGGCTTCCCACTYCATGAGAACCATCCATTGCAAGAAAGGGCAATAAAAATAGTTCCCTGGAGTAGATTGCCTGGTCACAACCACACTGGGGGACAGAGAGGAAGGAGACATTTCCTCCCTCTTCAAAAAGAGGTAATTTTCTCTTTGAATGATAGAAAAAGTGCAGGCATTTCCCAGATCCTAYTCAGCATCAGTGGGTAAGATTTTTTCTTTTCCTACCTTAACTTTTGGCTTTTAGCATGAACCCCTGTGCTGGTTCTTTAGTGCATCCTTGCTATAAAATCATATTCCATCTGAGTCAAGGACAAAAAAATACATTAGAAAGAGATACCAGCCCCTCCTAAAAAAGACTTTGTCTGGAATTATAACAGAATTTAGGTAAAAGACTTAAGTACATTTGGGAGCATTAATTCAGAGAGGTAGCCAAAGAAACAGGATTTAAATATTTCAAAATATTTATTTTTCAGGGGAGAAAATGGCTATGTTACAAAACATACCCAATCCCTCTCTCCTGACTTCCAYTTGGCCTTCAATTGCAATTCACCAGATCACGTGGAGAGGAATCACTAGAAAATAAAGTAATATATTAAGGCAGGAGGGCTGACTTACTGGCTACACATCAGGAACAAAAGCTCTCTGTCAGTGCTCTGCTGGTGGCAAAGTTCCTGGAAGAGGCTCAGGAGAGCAGAAGCAATCCAAGTACTTTCCACTGAGATTTTAAAAGATGGGAAATATAAATAGATGATCACAACTTTCATCATAAGTGCTCTTTGCATCATAAGCAAACAGAGCTCCACTTCCTGTCCTCAACTCCAGTCAATTTGTGGAAAGACCTTTTTCTAAGCATACACTGGGATTTGCTGGGTGTTATTTTTCCTCCTCAAAAGGAAAATGATGACACAACCTTAATCACATCTCAGGGAAATGTGCAGGGCTTTCCTCTTCTATTAAAACACTTTTTTCTTTTTATGAGAAATGCACCCAACTTCCTGTTACAATGTCCCTACACAGAGGTCAAGCTCTTCCAACATTCCCTTTTTGCTAAGATTCAGGACAACAAATTTTGATAGTCTGAAAGCATCACAAAATACTATTGCCTGAACCCCCTCTCTCTTTTCACAGAAGACAAGAGAACCTTCTAGATTCAACCACACATGGCAGCCACAACTTCTGCAAAAATATCAGGAAAAACTAAGGGAGCGGTAGGATTTTGTAACAAGGAGAGGGTAGCCTGAGCTTCACCAAGCAAGTCCTATCTAYGATCAGAAGCAGTAACTGTGCCACAGCATGATTTATGAAGTGCATTTACACTCACTAAGTCTAATACTCCTCCCTGCCAGCCTCAAATGTACAGAGCCTCTCTGCTGTCCTCTGACAGCCTCTTGCCCAGGTCATTTTGCCCCACCCACATTTTGTCAYTCATACCATGTTCTCTCTTACCTCATAAGGGCTGAAAAAGGATGCACACACCAGCCAGAGTGATTTATARCCACTGCCTCACACACAACGTGTTCCCTATGCACACTTCATCAAGCACCACACGTCTCCTTGCTGTGTTTCCTATTAGACACTTGCTCTGTCCACCCCATCATCCTACATCTTCGATTTACAGTAATTTCAAAGCCACTGCTTTCCTAGGAAGAAGGAAAGCAGTGAGGCTGTCCTTTTGCAGYACCCTCCTCAACAGAGCTCCAGGTGTCCATCTCCTTAAACTTATGCAGTCTCTATGCAGGTTCCAACGAGAAAAGGCAAAATACACGACCCAGGAGCACATACAAAATCAGTTTCCATACAAGAGCCCAAACACACAAGGGGTTTACTGAGCCAGGTTTCAAGAAGCTTAGTTTAATTGTGTGTTTGTTTTTGGGTTTGGCTGGCTTTTTTGTGGTGTTTTGTATGTTTGTTTGTTTGTTTTTAAAGATAACCACCTGGGTGGTTACCAATCCTAAGAGCTTAATCAAATCCTGGCCTGCAGACTTGGGCACTGCTGCTCTGTTGATGTTCTGCACGTAATCTGCCAGGGATCTGTGTCTCAGATTTCCTGGCAATTGTCAAATCAAAACAAACAGACACCCACCAGAAGCTCATGAAGATGTTATTTTTCAAGAACGATAGCTTTTGCTTTTCCTTTGCCAAGACACCATTACAGATTGCTGGACCAATATGATAAATTAAAGAAAACAACTGCACAAAACAAAATTAAAACCAATTTTGGTTATTAAAAAAGAATAATAATTCCAACTGCTCTTTTTATCTGGGTTCTAACTGGAAAGGCAGACAAAATCATGTTTAGTCACTGCCTACTCAGCGCTTCACCCAGGAAGCATGATCTAAGGGAGAAGCAGCATGAGCACATCTGAGGATGGTGTRGAAAAAAAAGCCGCTCTTGCACTGGATGCAGCCCCAGGAATTTGCCTGCTTGCACAATTTGCTCTGGTTTGCAACTCCGACGGTTTTTAGGGAAGTGTCTGCATGTCCACCACACATGATGAAATTCAGCAACAAAGGCAGACCACGAGAAAGTGTGCTTGATTTCCTATATCTTTTACACCTGGGTGTAAATGCAAGTAAACATATATCTCCTTCATTTTSCACCTGTGAGAACCTGGACAGCTGCTTAAATCAGAGTAGCTTCACGAGCACACAGGTGTCTCTTCTCTGGCAATAACCTACATTGTTAGAAAGCAATTACACTCAATCCCCAACAGGAGAGCAGAGATGGAAACAAAGCAGGTAATTAACTGTGAGAAACCACTAGAGACGCCATATGGCCCATTCTGATGTGAAAAACACTCTGGCCATGAGGTGCCAAGCGGGTCTCCTGCTTTCCTGAGCTCCCGGGGCGCCAACAGCATCCTGCAGGAAATACTCCTGTTCTCTCAGCCTCAGACCCAGTATGTTAGTGAAGAATAATACATAAACAGAGCAACACACCCCATTTCTCACACCCTTTGTACTCCCTGAGTCCAACACAGAAGACATCTGTACTAATTTTTTTGTAAGACAAGCAGAGAAAAGAAGGATACAGAGAAGCAGATGGCCATTATCCTCCATGTTCTTCAGGAATCAAAAAGTTTCTCTTGTTCACGCTGAGTTGTTTTCTAAAGACAAACTGCCAGTTTTCCTCCCTTCCAAGTACCCCTTTATCCTTCTGAAGCGTTATTTTGTGCCACTTCCTGCAAAGTGCTCCCATTAGCCAAAGCAGATGTTTCTACCAATAGGATAGGAAGGGAAAAATATTATCTAAAGACCATTTAATTTCAGATGTTAACAGACCCTGAATTTATCCCATTATGCCTAAATATCTTGGAATTTCCTGCCAATTAAATATTCATTAACTAAAAGCAATACCAGAAATTCAAAAATTACATTTTTAAAATRCACAAAGGCACTAGAGAAACGCTTTCAGAGTTTTTCACAAGAAAAAATGGGTTATATCCAAGAAAGCAGAATTGAAAAGTTTACATAACTGGTCACTCTTCCAGTTCTGGCTATTCTCACACTTAGCCATGCTTAAGCTTGTCACACAGAGACAATAAGCTTGCAGATATTGTAAAGGTTCCTTTGGAAATGAGTTAGTGCAGCCACATTTACAGATTTGGAACACCTAGGAAAAAAACAACACTTGCTTATAGCCAAAGCCTCAGTGGCTTGGCAGTCCTCTTGTGTCAAGATTGGATGTTTCCTAGAGTACAAGACTTCAAAGCTCACTGAGAGAGCTTATCGGCCTTCCCTGACACTTATCAGATCAGAAAAGAGCAAGTCTTGCTCAACTCCAAGTCTGCCCCAGCTCAATGCTCAGGAGTATTGAGAAGCCAAGAGCAGACAATCACCTTCACATCGGAGTTAGAAATCAATCAAGCACGAAGGAACAGAATATGCCACGTTTTACACAACTGTTYAGTCATCAAAGTAACAATTCAAACCAACTTGGACCAACTCTGTCTCTTCCTGATGAGACTTGAATAACAGCACAGTCTTGAAATTTTAGTTTGGGGAGCTATTTTTTTAAACAAACGAGAGCCTTCTTATTCAACATATCTGTTGGCTACCTGGAGGTTTGTGAACAGTCTGTTCTGTAACACATGTAATAATTTACCTGAGTTCATTTTGCATTTACTCCTACTGATTACTTCTCCACCTTAATTTCTAACTGTATCTATTGCATCCCAACAGAGTTACATGAACACAAACTTCACAATCTATCACGTAGTAAACCAAGCATTTTGCCAAGAGATCATAACACAGCCTATTAACATGCATCTGTATTTATGGTTTCAACCCCATTGTGGAGAAGAAAAAGAATGCCTTTGAGGATATCAAGGTCGAAACAGCAATAGAAACATTGCAAACTGGAATTTCTTTCAAGCAGTTGGACTAAAACCACAACTCAATCTTGGAAAAGGGTATTAACATAAGTCCTCTGTCAGAACCCTGYACTGCCTTCAATCCCACTGGGAAAGGAGCTCTCATCCTGGAATGCAGCAGGCTGAGCACCTAATGGATCAGCAGCCACTTGCTTTACATTTGTGCATCATGAAGGACTTGAGATTTTATGTCAAATCCAGTGTGCTGGAAGGTAGAGGAAGAAGGAATGACAGACCTTGCCAATCTCAGAACAGYGAGAGGGTTCTTCCAGATGCCTATGGCTGGCTGCCGTCCTTATCCAAGCCCTTATGTAAATAAAAGCTAACAGAGAGCTCTTYAATAACAGGCACAAACTCACACTTCCTAGCTCTCTACAGTGCTTACCTTCAGCAAGGATTACAAGAATCAAGAGATCATCAGGAAAAAGTTCCCTGCCCTCATGCCATTAAAGCTATTTTTAGGAGAGTTTAATACAGTGGAGGTCTGCTGCAAAAAAAACACAATCCAGTTTTACACACAGACAGATTTGGCTAGCAGTCTAAGTTTTCTCCTAGCTTGGCAAGATTTCAAAGTACTCAACAGAGCCAGGTAACTTGTTGGTGGGAGAAGCAGAAACACACACATTCATGAGCAAAAGGTGTGTCACACGGGGAACACAAACTAAGCTCAGGACCAAGACACATCCTAGGAGCTCAGCATCAGTCTTCTCCAAGTTTGCCCTTGTGCCCGTGGCGAGTTGGACTCGTCACCCCTTCACTCTATTTGTCCTAGTCCAACCGCGATTCCGGACGCCAGCCAACGGCAAACTGGCGAAAAAGGCAACAAGCCCTTCATTCAGACCATTTGCCATGACAATGCCCACGGGAAGGAGGCCGGCTGTGAAGAGTCCCATACACCCTGCATATCCTGAAACGCTGAGAGCAGCCGGGGAATATGCACAGAAAGAAGCCCAGGATGGGGAGAGGAAAATCAAGACCAGATTTCAGAAAAGAAACCATCCCAGAGAACCGCGGGCAATGGGAGGTGTAGATGGGATCTCCGGGAAGAAAGGCTCCTAACTCGGCAGCTGCACAGCCCGGGCAYGTCCCCAGGGCTACGGGGCGGGGAGAGGCACCGAGATGCAAAGAGGAGAAAGGAGAGGAAAAAAAAGGAATTGGAAGGCCGGCCCCGCAGGACGTGGCAATCCCCTTACCGTAAACCAGCTTCTTCATCTCGTGGTACCTGGCCCACAGGTAGGTCTTGGTGTCGGCGCCCTCGGCTGGGACGGGCTGGCTGCCGGCTCTGCCGGGGGCAACTGGGTGCTGCTCCCGCGGATGCCCGTGCCCGCCGTCCCCGGTGGCTTTGTGCCGGCAGCTCTGGCAGGACACGGCCACTGCGAGGAGCCGGGGTGCCGCGCCGCCGCCTCTCCGCAGCGCCGCCGAGCCCAGCGCCGCCATGGCCCCTCCGGACGCCGCAGCCTCGAGGAACCGCGCACGGCCGGGACTGCTCGGCGTCGCTGCCCGGCCCGCGGCGGCACCGCCGGGCGGCCAATCCCCGGTGCGAGGGGCGGGACCGGGCCGCGCACCGCCCAGAGGGGCCGGGCGGGGCCGGGGCCGCGCTCGCTGGGCGGGGC